ACATATACACGCATGTTTATGTAGGTATCTGTGTAGTATGTATGTACGGGTGCATGTGCATGTTTGTGTGTGTGTGTGTGAGGTTGTAGTAAGGAAATGGATACATATACACGCATGTGTATGTAGGTATTTGTGTAATTTGTATGTATGCGTGCATGTGCGTGTGCATGTTTGTATGTGTGTGTGTGTGTGTGTGTGTGTGTGTGTGTGTGTGTGTGTGTGTGTGTGTGTGTGTGTGTGTGTGTGTGTGCATTTATTAATATACATATATCTATATATATGTACATATACATGCATATGAATGTGTATAGATATGTGTAAATATTATATATATATATATATATATATATATATATATATATATATATATATATATATATATATATATATATATATGAATTTACATAAGCATATATATACACAAAAAGGCACAACAGACATAATTTTCTTACTATTTATCATTTATCTATTCATATATTCACTTATCATTATCATCCTCATTATTACTCCTATCGTTATTGTATCATCATCATCATCCTTATCTTACCCGCGGCGTTCGCTTTTCAATAAAACACGTAGCTGCCTGTAGTTCCCTGATATTTTCCCTCGTGGGGTTCTTCAGGAGATCGAGAAGCTTGGGGCAGTCAGTGAGCAAGATGCATTCGTCTCGTTCACATCCTGTACCTGCAACATGGAGAGGTTTATTTAGATTTGATTTATTTATATCTGTTTATAGGTGTACATACATATATATACATACATATGTGTGTGTGTGTGTGTGTATATATATATATATATATATATATATATATATATATATATATATATATATATATATATATATGTGTGTGTGTGTGTGTGTGTGTATATACATATATGTACATACATATGTGTGTGTGTGTGTGTGTGTGTATATATATATATATATATATATATATATATATATATATATATATATATATATATATATATATGTGTGTGTGAATGTGTGTGTGTGTGTGTGTGTGTGTGTGTGTGTGTGTGTGTGTGTGTGTGTGTGTGTGTGTGTGTGTGTGTGTGTGTGTGTGTGTGTGTGTGTACGCGCGTATATATATATATATATATATATATATATATATATATATGTATGCATATACATATATACACAGATTGTTATTTATATACATATTCATTTATATTTTGTTCATTGTTCATTCATCTATGATTCATTTATATTTGCTGTTAAGGATTCGAAAATATTGTATATGATAAGGACAAAAGAAACTGAGCAAATTCCCGGTAAAAATAAGGTAGTATTTGAAGTAATAAAGGGGAAAAAATTGATGAGATTAAGTACTTCCCTGAGGTGTAAGTGTAAATGTAAACTTCTGATACACAAGTAAAAATCAGGGTCACATTCCAACTGCATTGCTGAACAGTTTCCCCAGCTGCAGAAAATCGAACGAGTCAGGAAATTCCACTTCCCAGCAGGAGTTCTGCCCTCTTTCCAAAACGTTTCCAAAACGTATTTCGACAAGTGTGTGTGTTTTTTTGTTTTGTTTTTTGTTTTTTAATTATCGAATTTTGATCACAGAGGAAATAAATCCAAAATAAAATTCTCACAGGGAAGTGAAGCAGGCTAGGTGGACTGACCTGTGACGTCACAAACCAGACAGACCGGTGTCCACATGGCTTTAAGTAAAATCAAATTCAAATGAGCATCTGGTCTCACTCCGAAATGCAGATTCCATTACTGAGTGACACGTCATCTATGATCCTCTGTGAATGATGTTCTTTTTATTACGTTACAAAAGCTTATTACAGCGCAACTCTGTTATAAAATTACTGGTTCCTCTTTTGCTTAAATTCTTCGGTAGAATTTCAAGTTAAAAGTCTTAAAAGTTTCTTTCTTGTTTTTATATCTGGGGTAGGGATATCTGTGTCATGCCGAGCCCGGATATGCCTGTATTTTTTTTCCCTTCAAAACCTGTTACTCTGTTATCTTGTCTTCACTCCACCCCGCAAACTTAATCAATAATTCTCTCTTTCTCTCTTTTTTTTAAGATAGTTACACACAGCTAAAACTATCACGACTTAACTTTCAGTCTCTCAACGTTAACGAAAGCTCTTACCTTGGCTGGCTACCCCGTGAGCAAACAACAGGAAAGCACTGAGAACCAGCGCCACCGGGCTTGTGCTTGGTCTCTGTGGAGGGAATCACGCGTCCAGTCATTAGTTTTGTGTTTTCAATGGCTAGTTAATGGTTGTGAGGTTCACACACACACACACACACACACACACACACACACACACACACACACACACACACACACACACACACACACACACACACACACACACACACATATATATATATTCATAATCGTTCAAATGGATAACTGACAAATGGGTATCACGCGTCCCCGATGCACACATACATAACATGAATTAGATGCCTAAATATGTAGACGCAGACAAATACTTTAAAATGCTCTCCTAACCACATACCTGTCTGTTCATT